GGGTATACCCGGTGATTCCTATATCTACATTGAACAGAACGAACATGACACCGTTTTTTGAAGTGGCAGATGCTTTTAAAAAACTGCTCTGTGATTCAATGGCCTATCCAAAACTAGGCCTATATTCCAGGGAAAAAATCTGACATTAATCGAACATCAAAGGGAAGGGAATACCCTACAGTAGGTGCCTAGGCTTTTGTCTTTACCTAGAGCTAGACCAGCCTTTGTCTAAACAAGAGAGAGCAGCTTAGCTCAGTCGGCTAATCTGGTGGTAGCCACTGTGTGTACCACTTCGAAAAAGGATGTCATGTTCGTTCTGTCCATGCACACAGGATTCCCCAGGTATAATCCTACCCCCTCCCCCTCCAAAAAAAAAAAAAAAAAAACCTCCCACTCTCAGCATTTTTTAAAGAGTGATAAAATCTAATAATTTTTTTCTATGTGCCCTTAATACTAGCCTAGCCTGTATGTCTTATTTTACTGATGGGATGAGGCTAGCTGGTTTTCTGCCCAACTCCTGGTGGTTAGGCTCTATACTAAGCCTCCTCACTAGCCTAGGCCACACCAGCATTCCTCAAACGAGCCTGCTTTGTGTTTTGTAGTGGACAGCCCTATCTAGTTCTTGGGCCAGCCTAGGCCTAGTAGCTAAGCCTAGAGTAGTACTGTAGTATAATTGGTCATGAATGGCATGTTGTCAGGATGCATTAAGAAAATGAGAGAACATACCACATGAGTCCACTCTTTCGCAAACTTGATAGATCTTATTTTCCATGCTTCATAACTCTCAGTTTTTCTTGTAACATTCCCGTTGGTTTGACTTGCCATCCTTAGTCACAGCCCCACCACCACATGCATGCACGTCAGTTTGTTTACAAACGCTCCCGCCTCTCTCACTGTCTGTCTTCAAGCGTGAAGTGCATAGCGCCACCAATCTTAATCAATACTTTGGTAGCATCCAGATCCAGGAACTATGTTGACAAGAATTAAGATTTTTTTTTAAATTTTTATTTTTTTTTTTAGAATAAAAAATTGGAATTAAAAATGTTTTGATTGATAAAAAATATATTCATCACTAAATGTTTATGGGTGGGAGAGACTTCTTGAAAGTCACAACTCTGGCACCGCTGCTCATTTTATCTCAATTTTGGTTTTGGTGGCGCTTATATATGATTTTACTATATGTTATTTTTATCTATGTATTTGTTTCCGAAACACTGACTGAATAAATAAGCCTATATTTGATTTCATAGTTTTGGTATCATAACGTTGTTTGTAGAACCATAATACGTGTTTATAACGTAATTTCTTACTATCCATAGGGAGGTTTCGCAAGCTTACGAAACGACAACCAATATAGCTATGTCATCAAATGTTAGTTAATCCATGGAGCTATAAATAATTTATAGCTCCATGGTTAATCCATCCCCTATAGTGTCACATCTGTCACAGTGTATACCATCCATGTCACATCTGTCACAATGTATACCATCCATGCCTTTTACACGAATCACGATCATATTCAAGTCCTGTATTTTCAAGAATTAAACGTTTTAGGCACAAAATGACAATACTGTAATTAAAATGATGACCGTTCGTATTTTGGTTGCGAAATATCCCTAATGTCGCAATCTATGCGCGCTGCAACGTTACGTTATTTTCTATCCCTAATAGGCCTATTCATAATGTTCCTGATGTTGTAACATTTTGTGCTTGCTGGACCTACATTTATTGTTTGTGCATGATTGGTACGATTGCACAAAACAGATTTTTTTTCGTCGCAGGAAAGACAATTATTCGCTCCACACTTGAAAACCAATCATGGGTGCGGTGCTTCCGGGTCTTCACTGGCCGCCAGTAGTAGAATGCCCTTTGGCGCAGCGGGACGGTTTGGTTTCGAGGTTTCAATCCCTCGCTCGCTGTACATTTCGTTTGTGTCCTATGAGCTTATAGTTTTATTTATTTATTTGAACTTACACCTTTAGATCGGTGGCACTCAATGTCAATCTGTGCGGCGTTCGTAAATAAAAGGTACAAACTTAACAAAACAACTAGGCCTAATAAAAAGGAAAAATATGCATGTAAAAATACACATAGGCCTACCGTATACACACACATGAACTCTTAACTAAATACAATAAAAATCACTGAAATGAAAGAGCAGATAGTCCTTAGAAACCGATAAAGTTCAAAGAGTTTTCTCCTGTTTCCAACCAAATATCAATTAAAAATTAAGATACATAATTAAAAAAACTACACAATGTTCAGCAATACAGATCTTAATTTACTATAAGGATTGAACATGTTTAATTTCTGATCTCTTTTTCCAAGCTCTCTTGGTATAAGTTTACAAAATGTATCAAAAATCTGCTCTACTTCAGGTAGAGGAATAACTGTTGATCTTAAAACATAATGCAGTTTATTGTCGATAGTTGAGTTTGAGAATTTCCATATAGGCCTATTATTATAATTCTTTAATGCATGATTAAGCTTCTCCAACTATTCTACTAATCGTATGTTTGAAAGAGCAGAACAGATAAACAGGAAGTGTCTTAAAGTTTCCTCTTGACTAATGTTACTAAGTGCAAAAAAACCATCATTTTCACATGTAAATTGTGGTAGGTACAGTACTGGGAAAAAACTGACTATTGAATGTGTGTGTATTTGTCTCTTGGTACGAAACTGATGGAAGAGCAGTATTGATGAAACAGTAAAAAGGTATATAATTTTTATTGTTAAATTTTACAAGAATATACTGCACATTTGCTAATACCACTATCCCCAAGCAATAATTGACTACCCTACTGTGTCACAGTAATAACCATTTTTTTCTTAATTAAAGACTTAGGTACCTAAAAGTCATACAAACAGTAAACAGCATTTGTCTTAATCGTCGTTGTACGACTATTATAGTCGTACGAAGGCAATTTAATAAGTTTAAATTAATTGGGGACAGTCTAATCGTAAATATTATCTTAACGATAATGATGTACGTAGTATGATGGTGTCTGAATTGCCCTTAAAGAAAAATGAATTTAAATCTTTGGGAAAAAAAATCCAATCTATTGAAAGATGTGCATTAAAGTTTGTTTTCAGATTTGTAAAGATTGTTTTTCAGATTTAGTCTTGTTCCAAATTATTTAGCAAAATGTTAAATTGTTTTAGCTTAAGCCCATTATTAACCCAGGCAATTACTGTACTCTATTACACAACATTTCATTTAATATTTTGCATATCAAAAGTAATAAACCCGAATGAATGTGTGTTAGGTAAGTGCCACTCTCTATAGAGAAATCTCTAACTGTCCATGTTTGCAATACTGTAGTTCATAGTGAATATTTTTCAGTATTTGCATCATTATTGGTAATGCTTGCAGTATACCAATGTAGATTGGATTGGAAAGAACAGTTGTTTCAACTATCTACATGGTATTCAAGTAATTACCTTTTTAAAATTTACCATACAAACTTTAAAACAATATTTTAGTCTTCTTTGTTTCGTTTTTATCTTTTACAAAGGTTCTTGGATGCCTTGCTCCACAATACCTCTGGCCGGACAAGAAAAGACCTGGCTAAGGATAACAGCTTCAAATAATTTATCACCAAGAAAGTTACTGATTTAAACCGAATCCTGTAACGCGAAAGATTCCTAGTTAAGCTAATTGTCGAATATTAGGTCAGTTAAGACGACAGTAATGCATAGGTATATTTTGAAATCTAGACATTGTAGCTGTTGTTATATTACAAAAACTCTGATTTAAACATGCCTGTATAGCTACGATGCATAATATTTAATGTTTTTTCAATTAAAGAAGAATGGTCAAGTATATTTTAAACTCAGTGTCTGAGTGAACATTTTGACATTAAATTAACATTGAACATACTACATTGAATCGATGTTGAAATTTACGTCGATGAAAACATTCATTCACAACCAAAATTCAACGTTGATTCAACATTGATCATTTGACGTTATTATAACGTTAAATAATTGATGTTAAAACAGTTTTATACATTTTACGTTGAATCAACATTTAAATTTACATTGATTAAAACATTCATATTCACCCAAAACTCAACGCTGATTCAACAATGATCATTTGACGTTGTTTTAACGTTAAACATTAACGTTGCAACAACTTTAGACATTTGACATTGAGTCAACGTTGAAATTTACATTGATGAAAACTTTCATATACAACCAAAATTTAACGTTGATTCAACATTGGTCATTTGACGTTGTTCCAACGTTGAAAGCGTTGAAAGAACCTTAGACATTTTACGTTGAATCAACGTTGAGTTTTACGTTGATGCAAACTTTCATATACAATAAAAATTAAACGTAGATTCAATGTTTGCATATTACGTTGAATCAACGTTATTTCAACGGATTGGAAAGAACAGTTGTTTCAACTATCTACATGGTATTCAAGTAATTACCTTTTTAAAATTTACCATACAAACTTTAAAACAATATTTTAGTCTTCTTTGTTTCGTTTTTATCTTTTACAAAGGTTCTTGGATGCCTTGCTCCACAATACCTCTGGCCGGACAAGAAAAGACCTGGCTAAGGATAACAGCTTCAAATAATTTATCACCAAGAAAGTTACTGATTTAAACCGAATCCTGTAACGCGAAAGATTCCTAATTAAGCTAATTGTCGAATATTAGGTCAGTTAAGACGACAGTAATGCATAGGTATATTTTGAAATCTAGACATTGTAGCTGTTGTTATATTACAAAAACTCTGATTTAAACATGCCTGTATAGCTACGATGCATAATATTTAATGTTTTTTCAATTAAAGAAGAATGGTCAAGTATATTTTAAACTCAGTGTCTGAGTGAACATTTTGACATTGAATTAAAATTGAACATACTACATTGAATCGATGTTGAAATTTACGTCGATGAAAACATTCATTCACAACCAAAATTCAACGTTGATTCAACATTGATCATTTGACGTTATTATAACGTTAAATAATTGATGTTAAAACAGCTTTATACATTTTACGTTGAATCAACATTTAAATTTACATTGATTAAAACATTCATATTCACCCAAAACTCAACGCTGATTCAACAATGATCATTTGATGTTGTTTTAACGTTAAACATTAACGTTGCAACAACTTTAGACATTTGACATTGAGTCAACGTTGAAATTTACATTGATGAAAACTTTCATATACAACCCAAATTTAACGTTGATTCAACATTGGTCATTTGACGTTGTTCCAACGTTGAAAGCGTTGAAAGAACCTTAGACATTTTACGTTGAATCAACGTTGAGTTTTACGTTGATGCAAACTTTCATATACAATAAAAATTAAACGTAGATTCAATGTTTGCATATTACGTTGAATCAACGTTATTTCAACCAAGTTGTGCCCACTGGGATAATCATTTAAAATTGTAATATTACGATGATGTTTATTATTGTTAAAGTTAAAAAAAAAGAAGATAACTGACAGTGTTTTAGGCAGTGGGGAAAAAAATACAGTAATCTTCAGTATCATAACAAATAAAAACCTATTCAAAGCATGTAATTCCACAAGCTTATATTAAGAAATTATTATTGTGTACAATATATTTATATGGATTCAATTGGGTGATTTTAATGCTAAAGAAGGGGAAAGATGTAGTGTCTGGACTACAAGACTAGCATACCTCGTGTGTTGTTCGGACATGTTGTTAAATCAGGACTGGTGGATGAATAAACAACGAATGGCTATTGTAGAGCTGGAATATTGTCATTTAATTGTGTTTGTTTGAATACGATAACAACACACAACACCCCCCCCCCCTCCACTTGGAAGGACCTGGCTACGGGCCTGATGTCAGTGACTTTTGCGCAGCCTTAGTTTGCATTCTAGTCACCAGTGTTACGCTTGGC